TTGGCGAACGACACGCACCCTAAAACAAAAGACTCTAAAAAAAAAAAAAAAAACGCTGCTAGGGGCACGTGTCTGTGTGCCGTTTCATCACGGGCGTCCTCCTTACCCTGATGCTCCACTTCTGCATGCATGGCCTTTACCTTCATGGTAAGATACTCGGTCCTGCCGGGAGTCCGGGAAGCTCTCTCCTCTCTCCTCAGCATCTCCCCGAGACCAGGCCTCTCTCTCTTTCTGTCCTACCCCCTCTCTTTCTTATGGTTCTGGTCAATGATTCGTCAGTTGGGCTGGTTAGTCCACTCTGCATTTTCCTTACTCTTCTTTGAAGCCACCTTGTCCTTACTCAGCTTCGTCAGTCCCCGTTTCCTGAGCTAAGAGACCGCTCCACCAGATACTGCTCTGTGGCCCGAGGAAGCCTCCCCCAGGCCCGTTTGTTAACACTCACGCTTGCACACGAAGTCTCGTTTCGTAAGAGACATCTGTATTTTCAGTAAGTTGTGGCTTCTGGAATTGGGTTCCAGTTAATGAAACCCATATTTCATTCGATGAACTCTGCTTCTGGAATAAGTTAAAAGAGTAGAACCTAGTGGGCCCGCAGGTGGCATGGTGTACACTCCCACATAACTGACCGTGGTCAAGTCCCGGACCTGGTGGTTTCTCACTTGCCCTCTCTTTCTTTCTGTATCTCTCTAGGTTAAATTAAAAAATAAATACAAATTTTAAAAATTATTAAAAAAAGGAAATGCTCAATTCAAAACGTTTTCTTGGGGCCAGCAGGTGTCATTATGGTTAAGGCACTGGACTCCACATGGCCGACTGCAGTTTGAGTCCTGGACCTGGCCGCTTGCTTTCTCACTTTCCCTTCCTCTCTCTTTGGTGAGCCTATGTGCCCTACAGCAGATTAAAAATAATAATAATAATAATAAATTATTCTAAAAATCTACACATTACAATTTTTTTCCTCTTTGGAAGAAAAACTGCATCTAAATGACTGAAGCCATTTGTCAAGCAAAAATATTTTCATGTAAGATGGATTTTGCTGCCCCATTACAAATATGACAGGCAACCAGCTATGGCACCAAATATTTATGAAAGGACTTCCAAAAGTTTGTGGAAAATGAAATTGAAGCGTGTATGTGATTGCGAGGAATTTTGGAATCCAGGCACAGCTTTCTGGTAATGCACATTTTCCACACTTGGGAGACCCCACGTGTTCATTGATGTCTTCTGTTCAACTTCACAAGTAATTCTCTGGTAGAAGAAAATGTTAAAGTTTTGCATAAAATATAGGTAAAAAAAATTAATGGTTATTTTTTAGGGGAAAAAAAAGCAAAAACCAAAGCACCACTCATCTTTCAGGCAATGTTTGCCGTGGGCCTCACGAGAGATGGACCCTGCTCTCCTCAGTCCTTGACTCCTGTCTCGGCTGTTTTGTGCCCAGGTGAGGACCAGAGGCGACAGCCAGACTCCCTCGGTAAAGTCACGTGGAGACGGTAACAGGTGCTATTTCAGAAAAGCTTGCTCTCCGACAGCCTTGTCTGTGAGTGCACCGTACGGCGTTCGGACAGGTTTCTCTCTCTCATGAGAGAGACACACAGAGAAAAAGACAGGCAGGTGGCATAGTGGTTGAGGCACTGGATCCCACATGGCCGACTCCACAGTTCAAGTCCCACGACTTGAAGGGCAGCCGAGTGTGTGTGCTTGTGGATGAGCACCCAGAATCCCGAGGAGAGGATAGAGGAGACCGCAGCGTGGCCGTCCTCCCTGGGAGGCTTTCTCACTTCCTCTCTCTCTCTTTCTCTCTGGCAGCGCACGTGCCCTACAGAAAAATGTAAAAGTGTGTGCATGTGTGGGGGGGCATGTTCCTAGATAAAGATCAGTTGAGAAAAATCAAAAGGAAAATTGCAGTGGAAAATAAAATGCTTTCTAATGAAAGAGCATGGAACACAGAGGCAGTTACATTCAGAAGAGAAAAGCAGTTGAGCACTCATCTTGAGAAACGAGTAGAGGTGGAGAACTACAGCGCACCCGAGACTTCACATGACTCGCAGGCTGATGCAGTCGGCCGCAGCTTCCTGGATGCTCGCAGGAGACATGAGATTCCTGGGTCAGAGACAAAGGGCCATGCCACTCCTGGCCAAGCAGGCAGCAGGGCTCCAGGTCTGAAGCAGTGCCCCTTGTTCCCACGTCAATGGAGGCCATACAGGGTGGGCCCAGGTGGCAGCAACACACCTGGCCTGCTGGTGTCACAGTTGCAAGACCCCAAGCTGAGGAAGTTCCGATCTTCAGGCTGCAAGCAAACTCTCCCAAACACTGTCCCAGAGGGCGACAACATTCTCAACCACTGGTCAGTGAGAAGACTCGCCCGCTGCATGGGAGGGGATAATATTTGTATCTTCCAAGGTTGCTTGCTGTGAAAGTCTTCAAAAGATCATCTAGGACAAAAGCTGTCTCCACATCTGCTCAGATATTCAGAATGTGGGAAAGTCTCCCAACAAGTACCAAATTGGAAAATACCAAACCAGGAAGAGGAAAACTGCAAATGGAAATACATCCAATGTGTTTCTCCAAGTCCATGAATTCCCAATGATTCCTAAAAAAAAAAAAAAATCCCTGGTCTCCTTCAGATGCTGCTGGAGCACCAGTTCACAATGCTGAAACTGGAAAACAATGGAAAATGCGGGCACTTCCCTCGCCTGCCCCGCAGGAGCTGTGCTTCAGGACACAGATACTCAGCAGTTGCCAGTGACCAGGCCCTTGCGAGTTACAGCTGTAAACAGTGAGGCACCACCAGAGTTCCAAGAGAAGCACAGAATCTTGGCATCACTGACAGCTGCGAGATAAGCTCTCGCAGTGGGTGTCAAGTGGGTTCATGATGTGGCTTCACATCCCCACGTGCTTCCTGGGTGAGGTGAAAAGCCCCAACCTGGTGGGTATGCCCAAGGCGGGGCCCTGATGATTCTCAGAAGGTCCTAGTGTGAGTTGAACTGTGTTCCCCCAAAGATATGTTCAAATTCGAACTCTCAGAACCTGGGAATGTGACTTCATTTGGAAAAACAGTCCTTGCAGATGTAATCAAGTCAAAATGAGACCATTCTGGACTAAGGTGGGATCTAACCCAGCCACTGGCATCCTCGTGAGAGGGAAATTTGGACGTGGACGTAGAAAGAGAGAAGGCCACATGGACACAGAGGCAGAGATCAGAGTGGCTCATCTGCAAGCTCAGGAAGGAACCCCAAGGACGGCCGCCCCTCCAGGAGCTGGAGAGATGCCTGGAACAGGTCCCCCCTCACAGCTGCTAGACTCTGGGCTCCTGGCCTCTGGAGCTGTGACAGGTTCTTTTGCTCTGGAACCCTGGCATGTGAGACTCGTGGCAGCGCTGGGAAAGAATGTGGCCAATGCCCCCTTCGCGGGCGCAGCCTCCATTTTTCGCGTTCTCTCTGTGTCTCTTCTGGGTTCCTCCTTTGCAAGTCTCGAGATCACCTCCCAGTGAGCAGCCTGCACAGACCCCCAGCCCAAGTCCTGCGCAGAGGGCCCCGAACAGGGCTGTGGGATCGGTGGGGACCCTGGGACACACAGGATAGAGGTCTGGTGCTCATCACCCACTGCCAGATGCTTAGCCTCAGGAGCCCTATCTGGCAGGGTTCTCCGGAGAAACAGACCAATAGCTTACGGACACCCACAGCCATCTATCTGGTTATCTCTTTTCCGATGAGACTGCTGAGAAGAAATTGCTCGTGTGATTGTGAAGGCTGGCCAGGTCCACTTGCAGAGCGTGCCAGCAGGTGAGACCCAGGACAGGGGAAGTCCCAGTCTGTCAGTTGGGGGAACGTCAGTCTTTTTGTTCTAATCAAGCCTTTAACTGGTTGGATGAGGCCAACCCACCCCGAGGGACAATCCACTTTGTCCAATCCACCAATTCCAGGGTTAAATGCACCCGAAAGCACCCTTACAGACACATTCAGAATAATGTTTAACCAAATATCTGGGCAGCCCGTGGCTCAGCAAGCAGACGTGTGGAATTGCCCAGGACGGATGCCGTGGCTGGTGTGACCTGGTAACACCTCCCACTGACTCGTACTGTCACGAGGGCCACGACTCTTACCGCTCTGAACTGGATCGAGCAGGCGCAGCAGGAGGTAGCTCACGAAATGACCCTAGTGCCTCCAGGCCGTGGGCTCTGCTGAAGAGGGTGCTGCCTTGGGGAGGCCCTCGATCACTGGGGACGCGCGTCAAGGGCAGTCTTAGCTTCCCTGTCCTCCGATCAGAAATGACGAGACCTGTTTCACTTTGCTTCTCGAAGTTTCCCTGGGGAGTGGCGCCGAGCGGCTCACCTACACACCCTTCTCGTGTCCACTTTCTCCCCTCCTGTCCTTCCTGGGTCACCCCAGTGAGCTACTTGCAAGCAGCTGTTCTGCTTTGGGATCTAGTTCGGGAAGAACCCGAACTAGGACACGCAACTTGCTGACGGTACGTCGTGTGATACACTGTGATGGTCAATGTTTGCGGGTCCCATGTAATTTTTCAGCTGTATATGTTTATAAACAATTTTCATGCTGCGAATATTTAATTTTTAATTTTAATTAAAGATTGAATTAATTTTAAATCTTTAATTTTTAGTATTTGACCATATTTCCCAAGTAAATAGGACACTGTTTCATAAATAATCCCTTCAATAACATATAATAAATACAATTTTTGTAGAATTGCTCCTTACTGCGTTTTTCAATTTCGATTTTTTTTTTTTTAACTTTGCTTTGGAGGACACTGGACTGTTTTTCCTTTATTAAACCAATATAGCCATACAAATATCCTTGAAGTTCAAGTAATACATAAAAAACCCCGAAACATTTCACTCTCTCAATTCATCAAAAAATCTGGAAGACCGAACGAAAATTCACCTTTATACCAGGGCTTAAACCACGTGCTTCAAAATATTCTTTTGTAATTGAGATTTATTGGTTGTGTCGAGGATCAGTACAGACATTTAAGTTTGTACCCAAATATTAACATACATACCAAAAATGTAAAAAGCCAAGTATCATGCTTCTTTTTAAGTTATTCCAGAGACATTCCAGCTTCAGCTTCGTAGGCAAATCTTCCTTGAGAGGATATCAAGTCCCATCTTCGGATGTCGAAAGCGGTTACGGAAGTCCCAGCACATACGGTTCAGCGTCGTACACACTGCATACTCACATCTCCCACCTCGCACAGCACGCTAGCAACATCATTAGGACGAGCAGACGACCAAGACAGTGTCACGGAGCACACGCAACTCTGACCGGGGGCGGCAATCAGAGCGGCTTTCTTTAGGAAACAATGCTACTAGAAAACATAACAGAAGTCATTTAAAATATTCAAGACACATTAAATGCATGACTGTGACTCCGAACTGCCATATAGTATGCTTTGTATTTAGCATGTTAAAGCATCCACCCGCCCCCACTATGGAATGTTAAGCTGACACGCAAGAGAGTCAAAGCCTCCTGTTACACGCAAGAGAGTCAAAGCCTCCTGTTAGTCAATATCCCACTCTTTTCTAGTTGTACCAAAAAATAAACATCCTGTAAATGATTTTGCCTCTTTAAAAAAAATAATTTACACTGGGACCAGCAATTAGCATAATGGCTATGCCACTGGACTCCCACGTAGTCGACCATGGTACGAGTCCCGGACCCGGCGGCTTAAACTCACGCCGGGCGCGTGTGTGTGCATGCCCAAGATCCAGAGAGGAGAATGGAGGAGAAGGGATTGCGGCGTGACCATCCCCCCTGGGGGGTGATTTCTCGCTATCTGTCTCTCTGTCTCTGTCTGTCTGGCGAGCGCACACGCCCTATAGCAAAAACCTCTCCAAAAAAAAAAATTAATAATTTACACTTAAGAAACGGGATGAAGGGGGATTCCCTCCTTCTTAAAAATGTTTCTAGAGCTACTAAAATAGTTGCATTTACAAAATAGTTGGTAAAAATATCCCTCTGGATTGTACAAGAAGGGAGACAGGGACCATTGATAATCATGGTACATGACGTTACTCAGACTGGACTTCTTTCTCGCCTGCTTCGTCAGAGGGTGGACTCTCCCCCTTTTTTTTAGAAGTTTTTGCTATAGGGCGTGTGCTCGCCAGAAAGAGAGAGACAGAAAGACAGAAAGCGAGAAATCACCCCTCAGGGAGAAAGGCTATGCTACAATCCCTTCTCCTCCATTCTCCTCTCTGGATCTTGGGCATGCACACACACGCGCCCGGCGTGAGTTTAAGCCACCAGGTCTGGGACTTGAACCGTGGTCGACTACATGGGAGTCCAGCGACATAGCCATTATGCCAACTGCTGGTCCTTCATTTTTAGTGTCTCCATTTTCTGCAGGTAGATCTTTAGCGTCTGGGTTGGCCACTTCAGCCTGTCTCCCCTTTGCGCCCCTTCCCCTGTGTGTGCACTCCTTTGTCTGAAGACTTACCCTTCCCTGCGGCCTGTTTTGGCTGTCTCCACTTTTGCAGGAGGTTCAGCCGACAGCCTCACTGATCTCTTGGGCTCTCCCTTGGCCGCCCCCTCGGCTGAGCTGCCCTTCCTCTTGGGGATCTAGGCTGTGGATGGGTGCATGCCGGGTGCCTGGGGCCGCGGTGCACCGAGAGCCCTAGCAGGGCTGAGCGGACAGCCAATTTAGATGACTAGCAATTCTCCAGAGAGACTCGCTTGTCACTGTTGAGGCTGATGTTTCCATAAGGCCGTCGCTGAGTGGCCCAGCCGAGACGTGCTGGTGCGGTACTGCTGTGTTGAGCAGCTGCTGGCCCACACCTGAGTCTCTAGGTGCAACCCCGATGGTGGCGTGGAATGTGCCTGCCAGGCATGACCAGGCAGCCATGCGGGGTGCAAAGCCAAAACCCTCTCATGAGAAAGAAGAGAACGGACAGACACAGCCTAGCACTGAAAGCCATTCCAGGCTCTTCCAGGAGAGTCAAAGGGACATCCACAGATGGACCTGGGTTCTCCTTGGAGAACAGAAAGTCTCTCTAAACAAAACAAAACAACACACACACACACACACACACACACACACACACACAAACAAACACCTGAGGACTAGCAGATGGAGTAAGGTTATATTGCTGGACTCGTGCATCGCTGACCTTGGTTCAAGTCCCAGACCAGGTGGCTTAAAACTCAGGCTGGGCATGTGTGTGTGCATGCCCAAAATCCCGAGAGGAGATTGGAGGAGAAGGGATTGTGGTGTGGCCATTCCCCTGGGGGGTGATTTCTCACTTTCTATCTCTGTCTCTCCTGAGAGTGCACACGGCCTATAGTAGAAATGTCTCTTAAAACAAAACAAGACAAAACAAAAAACAGATTTCTCCTTAGAGAACAATCTGAATTGGCACTAGCCCCAGAGACCAGTGGTTCTGTTGGAGTCTACTCCATGTAGGTGTCCTGTGCAATTGAACTTGGAGAAATGTGAAGGCAAGGTTAACAGTAAAACAACTCGCCAGGCTGGCCCCACAGCCTAGTGGTTAAAGGGGGCCAATCCGACATGGCCGCCCACAGCTCTAATCACAGTCCCCGGCAGCTTGGGAAACATGGCGGGCATGTGTGCGCATGCTCTGAGTCCCAAGAGCATGGAGAAAGGGAGGAGGAGGATTGCGGTATGGCCATGCCCCCTATGGGGGGTGCTTTCTCCGTTTCAGTCTCTCTGTGGCAAAAACATGTCCTCTGGCATTAAAAATAAACAAAAATAAAAACAAAACTCAATTAAACATCTAAAAACATCTAGTTTTGAGAAATATTACTTTCTAGAATCCCTTTCAAATACTCTGAAACTCCGACATTAAGGTAAGGTGAAGGACTGCAGTGAGTACCTACAAGGCATGGAGCAGCTCACGACTTCGGCGCAGAATGGCTAGTTCCAACCACTGCCGGCGTCTCCGCTCCTCGGTTCTCCCAAGGCCCCTCTCTAGGGCTGGATTTCTGGAGAACCATACTCCTGTTTACAAGATTAGAAACACCAGACCAGCTCAAAAGGGTTTTAAATGGTAAGATGTGTATTTGAAGTTACTTCTCCAGCTCAGCAGTAATGAGAGTAAACAGGACTCTGTCAACAGGACCGCGGCCCTGTGTTCTCCTACGGATAAACTCGGATAAACTCGGCACAAACCTCATGGCGGCCGCGAGCTGCGCTTCTGTTTCTTTTTTTTTTTTGGAGAGATTTTCACTGTAGGGCGCGTGCACTCGCCAGACAGACAGAGAGAGACATAGAGACAGAAAGTGAGAAATCACCCCCCAGGGGGGATGGTCACGCCGCAATCCCTTCTCCGCCATTCTCCTCTCAGGATCTTGGGCACGCACGCACACGCGCCCAGTGTGGGTTTTAAGCCACCGGGTCCGGGACGCGAACCGCGGTCGACTACGTGGGAGTCCAGCGACATAGCCATTACGCTAACTGCTGGTTCCCTGTTTTTCAAGAAGCTTATAGGGAAGCAGGAGAACAGGGTTTGGACCGCGGGTCCCAGGGCAGGGTAGGGGGTTTGGGGCCCATTTTCCACCACTCCTTAGACATGGGCCAGCAAAACGGGGCAAAGGAGAGTGGCTCCAGTGAGCTGCCGAGAGGGTGGGATGACACGGCTTGTGAGCACTTGGTAGGCACAGTGAAACCTCAGCAGATGGCGGCTGTCCCAGTAAATACACTGTCTCTGTAATCCAGGTGGACGTGCCGGCAGGCCTGTGTATCTGGAAAGAAAATTCAACTACTCAAGTCCAGCTGGAAACAGATGGAATCAGTAACTGCAACAGGAGAGCCAAGCCTCTCTCCGAAAGCTTCCCATAGGTGCAAACCTGTGTCATTAAACGGGGTGGGCATGAGCAAGCACGCAGCGGGCTCTCTAGCGCCTTTCGCCAGGGCCAGTTAAACCGTGCCGGAAGTCCCAGGACGCGCACAGGAAAAGCCGCAAGGACCGTGGACCCAGTGCATGGAGACCCAGTCCTTCCTTGGAGAACAGGCCGCATTCCTTCTTTAGCATATAGACTTGCACATGCCATCTATCTGAAGAAGGTCGCGCTGGCACGCCAGTGCGTGCAAGGCCCATAGGTTTGGCCTGTGCGCGCTCTCAGCCCGGCCGGTGGACGCTGCCCAACGTCCTGTCTTACTCGACTGTCCCCAGACCCTTCCTGATCCTCTGCACAGAGCCGCTTCAGGCTGCGCTGTCTCCTTGACCTTCCTCCAGCAGGGTCTGGGACGTCACCGTCAATTTAGAGCGGAGTCACGCAAGGCTCTGGCGTGCCACCGGCTGGCGACGCGGTGAGGTCGCCGTGCGCCCCGCCTCCCTGCAGGGGGCGCACGGACGCAGACCCTGTTCGGGGCCCACGTCTCCCAGGGCGCAGCGGCCGGGGCGAAACCAGTGCCTCCTGGATCCGACCCGTCTGGTTATGGATTAATTATCATCTGCCTTCTGGAATTGTCGGCTGGCGCGGTGGCGACAAGGAACAAACGTGTCGTGCTCAGCATCCCCCACACCTCCTGAAATAAAACTGGCAAAACCGAAAAGAGCATTCTGGGAAGCCCTTAATAATTTAGACATCGGGAGCCGGAAAGATAAACAAAGGGCTCAGAGACCCCGGTCGGGGGCGGACGGCGGCGGGGCGCGCCCAGGCCCGGGGCAGGGCGCGGGCGCCAGGC